CTTGCGGAAGAGTAGTCTATGTGAGGATGGGCTATTTTAAAGTTTACTGCTAGTATAAATGCGAAAATCTATACTTTTATCTGCATTATAGATTTTTAATACTGGCAGTAAATTTTGGAACACCATGATTTGCCATTTGCGGCATAGACGATCTCTTTGTCCTTTTCACGCAGTAACTGATGGCTAGTTAATTAACATACGTCTCGTGTAATGCATGTATTTGTACTGTCGTTCAGATGTCTCATTAGACTTATTTATATCTTTCCACCCTTAAACTAATAATATATACTTGACATTGCCTTTAATTTTATATTTTTATGTTTATGAGTTTTTGCAAATCTTTCACTCACCGTATTTTCCAATACTTGAAATCTACTTCAAATATATTCTCTATTATTATTATGTATTATGCAATTAAAAGGCTCGCCTCTCAGCCTTTTAGGAACTACGACATATTACTGAATTAAAAAAAAATTTTTTTCGAAGCTGGCACATTTATAGATACGAGTTCACGATTCACAAAAACGAGGCAATTAACGGATTAGCGTCATTTCAACACTGCACATTCATTTCAACGTCGTAATTTAATATCGATTCGCATGACATATATTTTTAACATCGTGATTTTATCACCAATACATATTAAGTTTCCAAATCGAAAATAACGAGGCTCTACTTCGACAGTTCTTCGAAATACAGCGTCGAAAAAACGCCGGGATGACCTCTCTCAGATTTCTCTCTGAATTTTTAAAGGGATTACGAATTAACAGCAGCAGGTATTATTTGGTGTTCGTAATCAATAAGTAATGGCTGATAAACACAGATGTCTAAATAATTGCGTTGATAAAACTGAGTTCTCTGATAAATCATTAAATTCTACTGTCATCATAAGGTCTGTTTTTTATTGCTGCACTTTCTGAACTGGTACACACAGTGCAATCAAAACAGACCTAGAGTTTAATACATTTATATAAATTTACGGGGAGATACATACACACACATACGCTGAAATGCGAGGTCTGTTTTTATGACTGAACTAGTGTACACTTTTAGAACTTAAAGTGAGATACGTATATGTTTAATATTTGAAAGCAAGAAAGAGAGTTCTAGCAGTGCGGTGTAGTGCAGGAATAAAAAAACAAACTATATAATACATTGAGCGGTGTGGTTGTGTCATTTGCGATTCAACGAGTTGTGTGTGCACGTCGAAGTTACTATATATAATATTACACATTATGTTGGAAAAACCGTCCGGTACGGATAATCAGTTATCTAAAGAAGATTATTTAATAATGAGAGCTAAGAAAGCATTGCCGGGCGATATTTATGCCGCTAAATCCTGGCTGATCACCGCCAAATCTTTATTTCCGCATAGTGCAAAAGTTCAGGTTAGTCCTGGGTTATCATTATATATACACTTTTCTTTATTTTATATATTTACTTTTATATTTTTCTTCTTTACTTGTTTATATGCGAGTGAAGTAATTAATTTATTCCGCGAAGTATCGTCCATAATTTGGAGTTATTAGTTTTTAATTAAAATTTGTGAAATCATATGGATAGTGATGTTTAATCTTTTCCACTTTTCAGTTTGAGGCATATCGTATCGAGAAACTGTCAAAGAATGTAAAAGAGGCAGCAAAATGCTTTAGCGAGATGTGAGTATCAATCACTATTGAAATATACGTGTACTTTATATAAATTTATATTTAATATAATAATTTATATATATTATTTATATAAATACTTTATATTTACATCTTCTTTTCTTAAATGTAAGCACAGATTTCAAAATTTTCCGGATGATCGCGATATATGGAAAGAGATAGAAACAGTGACAACGTGTCTTCGCTTAGAACAGTGTGATAGCGAAGCTGAATTTTTATGTGAAATGTTCCAACATATCCCACAGGATTTACAACATAGGTTGCTTGTAATGACAGCAGATCATAGTGAAGATACAATGGAACATTGTAAATTATTGCTATTACTACTACGCAAATTTCCTCAAACCATAGCAACTCATGGAGTACGTATCTCAAAATGTAAACAAAGATACTTAATTTTTATAAGATATTTATTTGCATTATTACTTTAGCCACGTTTGGTGGAAACTTTGTTAACTGCGGAGAAACACAGTCATCCAGGGCGAGCTGTGAATGGTTTTAGAAGATTATTGGCATGCGAAACATTACCACTGCTTGGTGATGCTGTAGTGGAATTAAATCCTCGTCTTAGCTTACGATTGTTATGCAAGGCTGTAGAATTTTACTTAGCATACATACAGCAGCCACAAGACACGCAAATTCAAAATCCATGGGATAGACTTTTCCAAATTATGGAACTGATGGGTAAGAAATTAGGATGGGAATTGAGCAGTTTATTCGCTATGCCTTGGAATCGTGAAACATACAGCGATAGACTGCAGCAGTATGCAATTGTGCACAGCACTGGTCTGTGCGACGAGCCTATTGTCAGGCAATTACTAATGTGCACAATTGTAGTATTATTGAGAATATTGAACGAGCATAACGCTCTCATTAACAACGAAGAAACAGTATATTGTCTTGTAGAAGCTTTTGGAGAAGAAGTATATTCTGCAGGTGAGATGTTATATTCATGATTAATGGACAATTCATTTTTATACTTATACCCTAAACTCTTTGAATCAGAATCTAAATTGAAAAAGCGAAAGCGAGATGACAATGCTGGCGTAGTAATAACTAGTGACAGCGATTACAATGGCAGTGGCTTAGCATTGGCAGTAAAGTTGTGGGATTTATTACATAGTAGTGACTATCTTCAAAGAGAAATAACTAAACTGAATCAACAATTGCGGTTAGATAATTGGCTGAATCTATTCTTAACAGATTTAGCAATATATAAAGGTTTACATCATGAAGTAAGGGCGAGATTATTAGAAGGGAATACTTTAGCTACTAATATTCGTTTGGCTTGTACAAGTTTCTTTTTGAAAGATTACCAGGTGTGCTATGATTATATTCGAATGAATATATTTTCATTAAATCTGAATTATATAGCTTCTTATAAGACAGATCTTAAGCTTAATTATATAGTGTATATTTTTCATTAAAACTATTAAATAATTTTTCTTCTAGGCTATGTTGGAATATATTGTTGTAGTAACAAACTCATTACCTACTACAGCAGGCAAAATATCTCACACTCTGACAGTTCCAAGCACCAGACATTTACATTATTTGACTCTTGCTCGTTTTCCTATTTTACAATATTGTTGTAAATTACTTCTTTTAGCTATAAAGGTAATAATATTTTAAAATCCTTTTACATTAAAATATATGATTGATTTAACTTTAGGAAAATTTTTCTTCACCTGGAAATATTGGAGACTTGTCTATTGGACATGCATTGGTCCTTATACAGATAGATTGGCCGCAAGAAGCTAATCTTTTAACTACAATAACAGAACGAATTCTCAATCGTGGAAGTTTTATTTATCCATTATTCCAATCATACATAATATGTATAGATATCTTAGAAGAATTAACGTATTTATGGTCTGATCATGGCGGAGGAGTATCATTAGACATAACAACAGGAATGGCGATTATACAAAGTATATATAACATTCTTTAATATAGTGTACTTATTATATGTTGTAGAAACAAAAAAATTATATAAGGATTATTCTAGATCGCCGCGTCACTACTCGTGGTGCTGATAAAGGAGTGCGTGAGGAATTTAAGCAAGCCATGCGTCAACAAGCCGCACGGGACGGTACTGTATATTTAGATGAACTGTTAGAGAAATTTATTATTAATGAACAAAACGTCATTCTGCATAGTTTAGGCCGGCCACAATGTACTGATTTGCGATAACTGCAATTTTGTCATACACACGCTCCAATAAATTTGAACAAGCATGCTTGTGCTAACTATAGATACAGTATACATATATCATTAAATAACATAATAGTATCATTATCGAGCATTTTTGCATTAAAAATGAGATAAATGTACATTCGAATGTGGAAGGAAGCGGAGATGCTGAGTACAAAAAGTGCAAGCAATGTGTGAACAGAATTCTGATTAGATTTCAGAATCTTTAGTTACAACTGAACGTGCAACATCGCTAGACACATTCCGATTTACTTCGTAAGTCAGTTTGCGCAAGTATTGAATGATAATTTTTATATTTGCTCCAATTACTTGTGCAAACTGTAGTTTTGTTACACACACGCTCCAATGAACTTGTACAAGTGGCTTGCGCATATATATTTGATAAGTTTATTTGAATATCTGGTCGGCTTTAATTCCAAACAAATTATGACCACAAGTACGTGGTGAAACTCAAAATGAATTTATTCATTTAATTAATTTGAAATTTTATCATACATTTGTAGTCATAACTTATACACATTTTTTTTATAATAAACAAGTTTCCAACACCTATAACTTAATTTTTATTCTTGATTGTTATTTAACAAGAATAATTATGTGACAGTTTATAAATTATTTATAAAGATTTTATAAAAATATAACAACACACAAATTAGAAATATAATATACAATTAAAGAACATATAACTTTTATTTCTTGCAAAATCCTATTTTACATATTAAGTATACAATAAACACAAGGTAGAAACCAATATTTTAAGATTTATGAAAAACATGTTTAATTTTCTCGTATAAGATTTTAATGTTATAATTATATATACAAATGATTAAAACGAAATTTTTTTAACAGTTTGCCTGTAGATTTCTTATATGGACGTTTTCTCTGTCTGTGAGTGTGTGTGTAAATATTTTATTTCCTTATATATATATATATATATATAATATATATCTTTAACAATAGGATTAATAATCAACAAAATAATGTAAAATTACTCTGAGAAACTGATAAAATATAATTTTCGAGGCAGAATATATAAAATTTGATTAGCAAATAATAAGTAAATTGATTACAGATATATAATATGCTACATTATTGATTATTTACTATCGATTGTTATACAAAGTTAATATAACAAATAATCATCTCATTAAGGCTGTTTGCAATTATAAAAATTCATAATGAATATATATAAACAATTTAGATTTTTGGGCATTCTATCTAATGTAAACGCTTAATTGAAGGGCACTTAGAAGTAATACTTTTATCCCAGGCATAAAGGAAGCTATTTGACTAAAATCTGGTCCTGATACTAATTGTGTATGTAAGTCTAGTCCGCCGGTATAATTGCCATTTTGAATCATCTGTGATATTTGATGTAAACCTTGCAATGTATTTTGAGATAACTGAAAAAAGAATTTGTATCACATATACATAATGTAGAATAATATTATAACTGACTTACCTTATTTTCTCTAAGGCAATCGTACAGCACTTCCAATTTTTTTGATACATCTTCTATCTTCCTTTTGATTTGCTAGAAAAATAATGCGAATACAAATATTTTATATTAACTTGAACATATATATGGCTAGCTTTAAAAAATGTAAATATATATAGTAATATATAGGTTATTACATATATATTCAAAAATGAGTATTTACCGGATTCTTTGCATTTTCATAGCATTGATTCTTTAATTCATCCAATATCGTTTTTAAATGTATATGTTGCTCAGGTATAGGTGCTTTAGGTTTCTCAGGTTCTGCAATCTGTGCAGGCATTACAGATTGTAATGGTTCAACTGGTTTGTTAAGTGGTACCGGATTCGACACACCTTGCCTGAATTGCGGATTGTAAACTGTAGGAGGTTCTTGATAGAAATTGTCCTGAGGTAATGGCTAAAAAAGTTGTCAAAATACAAATACGTATAAATGCGAGCATATAAATACATATACAAAATAATAACGGAAATCTTACAATTTCCTTATGATTCTCCAAGTAATAAAAATCCTGAGAAAACGGGCAGATGAGAGTATAACGCTCCAACAACTGCGTTATACTCTGATCTGCCCGTTTTCTCAGAATTTTTACATATACAAAATATTAAATGAAAATCGACCATAAAATGTTCAATACGATTAGAAATTATATGTAGGGCTTACACTTGGTTCTGGTTGATTAGTTTGCAGTGGATGCATTATTGGATTTTGTGATTGATAATCCATCTTCGGCTGAAAAATATAAATAATTTATTCTTAACGATGCATTCTTAATCTAGACTTTTCGGCCACTTTAGTGGTGATTGATAACGCGTCTATAACACCATGAAAGCTTTCAGACAACAAAGCTCCACTAATTCACCCCAATACTTAAAGTGATTATAACACAATTAAATGTATGAAAAAATTTTTTACATTTATAAAATTTATGACGCATAAGATATAAATAACAATAATCTGCATGAAATCAGTTTTAAAATGCAAAGCAGTTTGAACTTTTTTTTTTATATAACACGCTTATTAGTTCATATCACACAAATATAAAAAGATTACATTATAATCAGATTAATTCTATTAAGAGTATGAAAGTAGGTAACACTGACAATAACAATATGTTCTACAATAATATGAAACATTATAGATATAGCATTCTCGACATGTGAAGCCGACTACCTTAACGTCTACACCCTTTGAATGTTTTGCCTTCCACTTCTTAGTACCAGAATGTTCCGCAGACATTTCGTTGTATAGTGCCAGTACTGGCTATATGATTTTAATATATACATATATCAGTATCTAAAGGTAAGAGATTTAGTCGAACGAAAGACAAGGAAATAACGTGAATAGGGGCGACTAATCGGAACTGAGCAATGGAATTGAGTAAACTCGAGATAATTTACCTGTGTTCTGGAACTTTTTGCTATAGGTGGATCGTTCCATCCAGACGGTTGTGGCGGTAATTGATATGTATTTTCGTTCCCATATGTCTGCATTTGTGAAGTAGGTTGCGATCTAATAGGATCGTACATTTGAGTTTGTGGTACATTTTGCAATGGCGACATTATACTTGGCTGAAGCAGCTTATATGATTCTGGTTCTTTAGGATTATTCATAAAATTTGGCGGTTGGTTGGGATAGTTGTTACTCGGTATAGGAATCTGAGGTTGATATGAATTTTGCTGAGGATAGCCAGGGATAGGTGAGATTTGCTGAGGATAGCCAGGGATAGGTGAGATTTGCTGAGAATTATATAATGGATTTGACGACGGGAAAGTATTCTGACCATATGATGGAGTAGATTTTACAGATGGATCTATCAGATATTTTGTTCTCGATTGTGGTCCGACACTGGACGGTCTCGAGCCACTCAAATTGGAACCGGATGTTGGTGGAGGCGGAGGAAGAGGTTGCGCTATAGGAGGCTGCGATGGGATTTGATTGTACGAGTGTGAATATTGATCGTAAATTGTAGATTGCACTTGAGATTGAGGAGGAGGAGGAGGAGGAGGCATTCCATATAATTGAGATTGCTGTGTGTTAAACTGATTTGTAGGAGCTCCGTAAGATTGTTTCAGTGGATTTGTGTTCCAGCTCTGTACTGGTGTTGTTTGTTGTAATGGTTGCTGCAGTGGATTACATGGACCTTGTGACACTCTTCGTGTCTGTTCATAATAGTAATTCTGAGCAGGTTTTGTAACATGCCTCTGTTCTTGTATGTAATTTAAAGCTTTGCATAAACGATCTCTCAGCATTGAAACTCTTTGATCTTGACTATTCCCAAGATAGTTTAAGGCAGCCTCTAAATCGCCTTCTGCTGCCAGCATCTCAGCGTATTGAGACAACACTGTAGCAATTTTGTCTTCTAGCTGCACTTCCCTGATACCTTGAAGTTCCAAAGCTTTCTGCATTATTACTACCAGTTCTACCATTTCTTGAATATCACCATCGGACACTTCAATCAGTTTATTCAAATTACCGGAGCAAATGTAACAAATTTGTGCTTGCTTTTTAAGAATGGGATTTTCGCATGACATCAAGCGATCGCCAAGTATATCTATTATACACAATTTATATTGTAAATATATGAGAACAGTAAGTGATTATATATAATAAATTATTTCTGTAATACTTACCGCACAAGATAGATCGTTCCTGTGTAGTGGAATGTGTAAATATACCAATTAATGCTTCCTTCCAACATTTTATATCACTGTTCTTAACAACTTCTGCCCAATTTTCACTAACTAATGAATTGATGAGAGAATTTAATGCACTAGAGTGCTGTAAAAAGTACCTATATTGGGTACGTGCTAGTAGTTCGGGACCAGCGGCCATCGAAAGAATTATAGCGTCGGCGTATCTTTTACTAGCAAAACATAAAGATACAGCGGCTTCAATATTTCCTAAGAGAATGGCTTGAGTGATAAGACCATCTTCATCTAAAAACACAATGCAAATATAAATCTTTTATAAATTTGTTTTACTACAGTATTAATATTATTAATGTGTTAATTACCATCTGAAGTATTTATGATATAATTACTATCTGCAGGCTTATTTGACGATACTTTTTTATTTTGCTCTTGTGCTATAGTATCAAATACAGAATTGCCGACCACATTTCCATTTATTACCTAAATCAAATAAAAAATACATATAAAGTTAAAACAATGTTAAGAAAAAGTACAATGTAAATATCAATTAAAATCTTACATTATTGAGATTAGAGACACCTTCTATAATGTTGTTTATATCATCTTGAGGCACAAACTGATTCAGCTTATTATTCATTATCTCAGTATTGTAGCCCAATATCTCCAATATACTTTTTGTCACATTTTCATCAAAGTAAGCACCTACACATTTCCAGACTTTTTTGGTATGTTCATCTGGAGACTTATCCATCTTTTCCTTACAAAACTCGTTGAATTGCTCAGTTTCCAGTGTTGTTTTTAATTTGTTGGAACGTTGAATAAGATTGGGTTGTACAATTACTTGTGATATAATAACTTTCCTATTCGCTTTTTTGTTTAAATTCGGATCAGCAGGCTGATTCTCGAAAATTACTAATTTACCACCAAACTGAAAATCATATTTTTATATTAAATAATTATACTTTTTTATTCTCTGTTTAATATAATAAATTTTACGATATGAAGCAGAAAAACTTACTCCAAATGATGCTCCAAACGGCCTTTTTAACCATTTAGGAGCTTTTGTTAATACTGCTGCTGTTCCTGTCTGTATTGTAGATTGGGTGAAAGGATCTATTCCTGGGAATGAATCCCCTATTTTGTTAGATGTTTCTTGCTGTTGTCCACCTAATAAAGAATAGACAACAGCATGCCCATCAAAGCTACTGCCAACAATTAAACCTGGATTCCTTGGGCACCAAGACACATCAAAGTTCCATTGAGCTGTTTGGGCTAATTCACATATCACCTCACCATTCTGTCATTAAAAAATGATAATAAAATGATAATGATTAAAATTCCACTAATTTATTGAAGTGTATATTCAAAACATTACCAATGCATTTGAATTGGGATTCCAACACAATATTCTGTTATCCTTGGCACAACTCAGGAGTAAATCAGCATCCTGTGGATTCCATGCGATTGAAAGAACACCACGCTGATGACCTTGTAGAGTTTTTAAAGGCGACGTTGGAACTCTTACATCCCATAGTTCAATGATAGGTGTTTGATCATCTTCAGATGCCAAGCATAATTGTGTTCCAATATCTGGATGCCATTGAGCAGCTTTCCAGCGTACCTATACATAATTAGAACATAACAATTGTGAGATCTTTTCTAAACAAGAAGATTGTGTATTATATCAGTGTCAAGACAAAAAAGATTATACCCTTGAATTTGTATCCGCTAGTTTGAATAATGGTTTTTTTTCTTTCACATTCCATATAATACAGTATTGTGAAAATGTGGAAACAAGAATGTCTTTTAAATGTACTGTAAGATAAAATGAGAATCATATTGGTAACTCCAGATTTGTATAAATAATTAATTTTGTCATGCAACTTCTTTGAGCATAAATACACTTGATATAAATACCTTGTTTGTTCCAGGCAATATGTTGAACATCTTCTGACTGCTGGCTTCTAGAGAGGGTTGTTGGCGTGTTTGTATTAATATCCCAAATATAGATCTCACTTTCTGTAGCACCTGTAGCCAATTGATTTTCTTCTTGAAAGGGATTAAAATCCATTGCTCTGACAGGACCAGTGTGCCTACGAGGACTGTTTATTAGGCAGTTACTGTCTCTAGCCAATAACTTTGCAGCAGAATAGATTTTTATGGTTCCATCCTCACAACCGCCAACAATTATGCCTGCTGGATTATTTCCATAGGAGCCCCAGATAATTTTGTGAAATCTAGATTGACAATGTCACTTGATTAATCAACCTCTGGTAGATTACATTTAATTTTATATAAGTAACTGACCTATGATCACTAGGAACACTAGCCTGGAGCTCCATTTCATATCCAGGCTGCTGTAAATTCAACGAATACAGATCTAAACTGGCAGAAGTACTGAAACTGGCATCTAACTGCTGTGCCGCTGTCCCAGCAGCCAGCATGATGGGATGTTGAGTTGGTGGAGACCATGCTACATTCACTGTCTTCAGTAGCTCCTTAACTTTCATCTACATATGAAAAGAAAGAAAAATCTGCTCTTAACGTCCCATACATTTTACGTTAATGAATTAGAAAAAGAAATCTTTTCGCGAGTAACACAATGGCACCAAGGTATGAATACCCGAATGAGAGCAGTCAACTGCTCGTAAACGTAATGGGATAATAGTGTCAAAAAATGCAATCGACATTGCTGCCACTGCGTCGGGGACCAATTGCGTTCCGTCATTCGAGCGAGACGCAATCGTCGGTACGACCGACGATCGACATTTTGATTGAATAACGCGTTATCTCACCTTGATTCGTGTCTAAACAGCTGTAAACAGGGAAATTCCTGGGCAAAACGGTAAACGGGAATCCGGCGAGATGCAACGACCCGTCAAGTCTTCCAACGTGGCGTGCTGCACGCGAACCGTCGGCGGTGCCGCCCTCCCTTGGTATCGTCAGCGTATTACGACGTCAACGGCATATCGGCCTCGACTGTGTTTCCGCGTGTTGGCTGCTGCAATTGCTGTAAAAGTAAATTGTGCTATAAAAGAGAGAGCGAATGGCGAATCGCTCAGCGTCGGAGCGTTCGCCTTCGTTACTGAAGGGAGTTAGAACGTTGCTTCAAGACAAGGTAATATTAGTAAAGTAATATTACATATTCGCTTTTCACGATGTTGTCGACTGATAGAACGACCATTTAAGTTTGCTTGTATCTATCATTTCCAATATAAATTGTACTCCATTTGCTCTCTCGCTTCGAAGCTGCATTTATGGAATTGCATGAGATATTGCATCACCGGTTTCTACGCGTCGTAATAAATTGTTGATTGTCTCACGAAAGGTTCAAAGTCTACTTTTACTTAACTAAAAGTGAGTTACAACTTAACTCAAGAATTCGAAACAATTGATATTTTACATGATATCGTGATTAATTGTTCTGCTTAAAATTTGTTATAAATTTTTAAATTATTTGCTTTTGCATTTAGTTTAGATGCTGCAGAATAGCTTTGATTCAAGAGCAATTATTATATAGATATATAGTTATATATATCTATTCTTAATGTTTAATATAACGCTACATTTTTTTATATTAAATTTTGTCTTATAAATATATTTAGATTACGTTCTTTGCGACATTATTATCTTATGTAATTGTAAGATAATATTATTGATATATAAAACTTACTTCTTATATTAATATAATAAGATTTTTATTATATTATTATAATAAGAAAGTATTATATATTAATTCATATAATACAATACAAACTTAAATTTACTGTACAAATAAATTTAAGTATTGATATAAAAAGGTATGCTGAAAAAATGTACAAAATTATAAGTTCTAAAAAGCAGTCTTTCGAAATCAAAATAATAAACAATTTTTCTTCCAGAGTCCACTTTAGAAATTTTTGGAATCTTCTTTTTTTTGTCGCAATGACCTGACCTATCGATCACGAAGAACTCGTGATAACAGAGACCGAATCTGCATGATAATTTCAGGCAGCTTGGTAAAATAAAATGAAGTGGAACTTCTCAAAACTGATCAGTTATACATGAATTGATCCTCTGCTGATATATGTTGAGGATATGAACAAGTGAACAAGATTGATATTATGGATTAATGAGCAGCAGAATGTGGCCTAGAGTAATAAGACGATTACGACAACGTCGAACGACGTTAATCGTTTTCTTGATCATTATATTTGTATGCCAATTTCTGCTTTGGTATAGGAGGAAAGAGAAAAGTGTCAATTTGGAAAATAACTTTATCCGGTATAAATTAACAATTACTTGTTATTTAAATTGATTTAAATGTTGATTTAAATTCAGCATGCTTCTGTTACAGATCACATGGAAACCAGAAAGATTACATTGATCAACGAGGAATTCATGTAGTAGTTGGTCATTATATTGGAGATTCTGTGGATTCCTTGAAAATTCCAAACATTACGAAAGGTAATAAATGCAATACATTAGAAAAATTTTAAATAAGTAAAAATATTATATATTTTTTTTAGATGTTATTAATCAAAATTTATTCAACCCACTGCCGTTTGAAGGCAAAAATGGAGAACCTGTAGTAATACATCCAAAAGATTTTTATAAAATGCAGCAGTTATATCAAATTAACCGATTTAATTTAATGGCTAGCGATAAAATACCTCTAAATCGGTCTCTACCAGATGTTCGGAAAAAAAAGTAAGAGTGTTATTGTTTGATATGTCAGATAAATTTTTAATATCATTTAATTGTAAAATGTCTTAAACAATTCAATTAAAAAAATTTTACAGGTGTATTTCGCGATACACAAACTTAGGTAAATTGCCGAAAACGTCAATTATCATAGTTTTTCATAATGAAGCTTGGAGTACATTATTGCGAACAGTACATAGCGTCATCAATAGATCACCGAAAGAACTGCTAGAAGAGATTATTCTTGTGGATGATAACAGTGAAAGAGGTGAATATTTAATTAATTACAAATCCATAATATTAACTTTATTATTATTTATAACAAATTAATCTTCTGTCACCTTGTTATTTATTGCTAGAATTTCTGAAAAATTCTTTGGATGATTACGTGAAGAATTTGAGCGTTCCTACAAGAGTTTTAAGGTCTAACGAACGAATAGGATTGATAAAAGCGAGATTGTTGGGTGCGAATGATGCTAAAGGTGAAGTTCTCACTTTTCTCGATGCTCACTGCGAATGTACAATTGGTAAGTAAGCTATTATTATTTTATAATAATATTTGAAACAGTCTCTCTCTTTGTTATATACAATATCGATATTGTAATATTTGCAGGATGGTTGGAGCCACTACTTGAAGTGGTTGGTAAAAATGCAACAAGAATAGTCGCTCCAGTAATTGATATAATAAACGATAATACATTCAGTTATACAAGGTAATTATTTATTCTTGTATTTATATCAGTATGATCTTGATAAACAGCCTTAATTTTTTATGATTAAGGTTTTATTTTTTTCTAGACAATATTTTGAAAATTATTAATTTTGTAGATCGTTTGAACTTCATTGGGGTGCGTTTAACTGGGACTTACACTTTCGTTGGCTAACTTTGAACGGTCGTCTATTGAAGGAAAGACGCGATAACATTGTCGAACCATTTCGAACACCTGCAATGGCGGGTGGGCTATTCTCAATGAACAGAGATTATTTCTTCAAATTGGGAAGCTACGATGATCAAATGCGAATTTGGGGTGGTGAAAATTTGGAACTATCATTTCGAGCTTGGCAATGTGGAGGCAGCATCGAGATTGCTCCATGTTCTCATGTCGGGCATCTTTTTCGAAAGTCTTCCCCTTATACTTTTCCAGGCGGCGTCGGAGATATATTATATGGCAATCTTGCTAGAGTCGCTTTAGTATGGATGGATCAATGGGCGGAGTTCTATTTCAAGTTCAATCCTGGTGAGATTACTATTAATAGTGATACATTTTATCATTATATATTACGAATTTATATTTTATCTATTTAGTTAGATCTTAAATTTCATGGATGAGCGGATTCTTATATCTCAAATTTCATTAGAGGCAGCTAGACTGAGATATAAACAGCAAGTTCGTTCGAGACTAGCTTTACGCGAGAAACTGCAGTGTAAGAGTTTCGAGTGGTACTTGGAAAATGTATGGCCAGAGCATTTCTTTCCTACAGATGATCGATTCTTTGGCAAGGTATCGTTGATTCTATTGTGTAATGCGATATAAACTGATATATGTATTATATATTTACATATATATATTAACTATTATATATATATATATATATATATATATATATATATATATATATATATATATT